GTTCACTCGGAGAAATCCCAGTTCTTTCCCGACAAAATAGGGCAATTGAATGGAAAACAAATTTAGTTTTGCTTCAGTTGCGTTCATAACTCAGCGTACGTTTCTATCCCAGAAGCTTGCAAATCAAGTTTTAAATCGCGACGATGTCTATCGTCGAAAGACTTCGTCACAGAGCATAACGCTAAAAAATTTTCGAAATTTTAATTTTATCTAGTCAGAATGGTCTGTCATCTAGTGTAGCTCTATCAAACTCCCAGTGAGCAGGTTCGAATTTTCATTTTAAAGGAAAATTCTCCGTTTTCTTCATATAGTTACTCAATTTATGTTTCTTTCAGTCCAAATGAGAGAGAGATTAATGTTTCCTAATTCAAGAACGTTAAAGGCTTACAGTTCTTGCTCGGTTCTAGTTATTTATCAGTTGAGTACAATAGTCAATAATTTGAGGTTGCGCATTAAGACTTTGTGATTTTTTTGCTGTTTTTGGGAGTCCTATTTTTATCAAAACAATTTCATTTTTGCTCCGACTTTCGATACAAAAGTAACGGAATATTTGTGCTCGGGGTGGGTTTTTTTTTCTTCAGACAAATTTCGACTTTTTCACTAGCCAATTTTGACGGAATTTTTTTTATATCATTCGAAAGCTATTGTTGTCCTGAGCTAAAATTTGAAAAGATATTTTACCAGTGATTCTTTTTTGTACAGTTATGGGGGTTTAAAGATTGCCATTTTGACCAATTTAGGACAATTAACGCGCGATATATTTCGCGCTATTAACGCGTAAGCGGAGATTTAATCCGTCTTAAAATCGTTCCAAATTGGTTGAAAGAAGCTTACTTGCCATAATTGATTTGTTACAAGGAGCTAAATCTATCTTTTTGTACTTCATATGGCGTGTGGGGGGATGATTTTCATTAAAAAAAATTCAAATTTTATAAATAAAAATTTTCATTTTATTTCATTTCATTTAATTTTTTGATGTTATTACTGCTCCATTAAACCTTAAAAGGCAGTCGGAACATGCAGGGCTTTGACCTGATACGAGCAGTCTTGTATCTTTTAAAAACAGAATCAGCTTTTTTTTCATTGTTTTCAGTTCAGCTTTTGTCGGTCCAATTTTCGAGCTGTATACAAATTTGTTTTTATGCCGCATGTGTTTTGTTTGATGCATACTTAAAGTTCAAAGTTAGTTTTCTGTCAGGCTTTTTTTGGCTCGATTAGTTCGAATTTTCATGCATCGTTAAAATTATACAAATATGCGAGCTGCTAATTTCAAGATCAATTGCAAAAATTCAGGGCTCGGCGTTTTTGGCACCCACTATGATTTGGACTGATCTCGCACAGCGAGCGAGTTCGGTCCAATTTTAATAAACAGCAGCAATTTTTTAAAGGTGTGCATTTGGCCTGAAAAACGACGATGTAGCAAATTTGATAGTGGTTTTTTATTGTTATTTTTCTCCTCAAGTTTAATCTCTATTGGGTTCACTCGGAGAAATCCCAGTTTTTTCCCGACAAAATAGGGCAATTGAATGGAAAACAAATTTAGTTTTGCTTCAGTTGCGTTCATAACTCAGCGTAAGTTTCTATCCCAGACGCTTGCAGATCAAGTTTAAATCCCGACGAAATTTTAATTTTATCTAGTCAGAATGGTCTGTCATCTAGTGTAGCTCTATCAAACTCCCAGTGAGCAGGTTCGAATTTTCATTTAAAAGGAAAATTCTCCGTTTTCTTTATATAGTAACTCAATTTATGTTTCTTTCAGTCCAAATGAGAGAGAGATTAATGTTTCCTAATTTAAGAACGTTAAAGGCTTACAGTTCTTGCTCGGTTCTAGTTATTTATCAGTTGAGTACAATAGTCAATAATTTGAGGTTGCGCATTAAGACTTTGTGAATTTTTTTGCTGTTTTGGGGGGTCTTATTTTTATCAAAACAATTTCATTTTTGTTCCGACTTTCGATACGAAAGTAACGCAATATTTGTGCTCGGGGTGGGTTTTTTTTTCTTCAGACAAATTTCGACTTTTTAACTAGCCATTTTTGACGGAATTTTTTAATATCATTCAAAAGGTATTGTTGTCCTGAGCTCAAATTTGAAAAGATATTTTACCTGTGATCATTTTTCGTAAAGTTATGGGGGTTTGAAAATTGCCATTTTAGCCAATTTGAGACAATTAAGCGCGATATATTTCGCGCTATTAACGCGTAAGCGGAGAGTTAATCCGTCTTAGAAATCGTTCCAAATTGCTTAAAATAAGCTTATTTGCCATAATTGATTTGTTACAAGGAGCGAAATCTATCTTTTTGTACTTTATATGGCGTGTGGGGGATGATTTTCATAACAAATTTCAAATTTTAGAAAAAAAAATTCTTTTTGTTTTTTCTTACATTAAATTTTTTAATGTTATTACTGCTCCATAAAACCTTAAAAGGCAGTCGGAACATTCAGGGCTTCGCCCTGATACGAGCAGTCTTGTCTCATTTTATTTTCAGTGCTATAAGCTGTGTCTAAGCCGTCAACTGGCAGTGCGGCGTAACGGTGCTGACCGAAAGTTTAATGTATTTAGTTCATTTCAATTAAAGATTTCTCAGTTGTATATGTGTGAGGAGAGCTGGGGGATGCCAGTATTCACCCATCTACTAAGATAAGGAAAAGAACATCTGGTCTACTGGCTTCGTGTTAACATTGGGTATAGAGTTTGCAATGTACTAAGATAGGGAATAGGTTTTCAATGCAATATGATAGGTTATAGGTTTTGCCTTGTATGCAATGAATGAATACTTTGTAATGAGTGTTAATACATAGCCAGTGGACCAGATATTCCTTTTCCTATCTTATTACCATGGAGGGTCTACTGGCACCCCCAACTTACTGACGCATATAGTACTCCTCTCAGATTTTATCTTTTTATTTTGATTTATTTGAAACCAAGTATTTGAAGTGATTTAATTGATTTGGGTGTCCTCCAACCGAATTCAACTGTATCATTAATTCGTGTACGTGTAGATTGGTATGGTTTTTAGAAAGATCTGATCATGAGATGAATGATCTGATCACATTATGAGTAGTTTCAAATCGCAAACAGCCAAGAACCCTCCTCCTATTTCGGGCCTTGACTTATTGGAAAAACACGTGTTTCTTTTTCAATTCAACTTGCGTGTAATCTAACCAATTGAGGAGAGGCTTTTCATCGCTTTTTTTTCTAAATTGAAAACTGAAAAACTTTTTTTTGCTGTTCCCAATGGCATAGGTAAAATTTTTAGTTATCCAACCGCCGATATCAGGGAGACGTTTTTTCTGTAAAAGTGTTTTAATTTTGAAGTTTTGAACATTTTGAACATTTTTTTGAGAATTAGCGAAAAACTTTTTCATTTTCATGTTTTGTTTTTCTGTTCGTTGAGGGCAACTGTAGTATAATATGCATAGTTTACAAATATTCTAAGTTTTAGTTTGATGCCGGCGGCTGTTCCACTAGCACAGCCGCCAGCGCAGCCCTTTGTGGAATTTTAGGGCAAGAAGGCTATAACAAACATTTTATATCTATCAATAAACCAATCCTTACAACTTTTTCAAGGCTCTGAAAGTATTGCCATTATTATCTCCAACTGCCCTATAAAACAAAAAGCTCCTCATGAAAAACAGAAACTAATAATTGTTTTTTAATCAGTATAGTACCCTTTTTTAACTTCATTTTGAGTAACTAAATTTAATAATAAATACCAGCTGAAACGTGCTTCTCAATTTCTCAATAGATTGGCGCAATATATTTGACGGATGTCAGCCTTGCAGCTTATTATTTCGATTTTCAGACAAACTTTTGAATATTTATGCTTGTGATTTATTTTTTGTAATGCAGTCAACTTTCGACTTTTTAACTAAGCGTTTTTGAAAAAAAGTGTAAATAGTCCGAAAATTTTTTTGTCCGCAGCTCAAAAAAATGAAATGTGGTATATTTTTTGTTAAATTATGAGCTAATGCGTTCTAATAGCACGGGTAAACCGCAAGTTAAATCGTTAAAAGCTAAATTGAGGCAAATGATTTGATTTTTTAAATAAAATATGAGGCGCTTAAAACATCTACTAGTACTTAGAAAAACTGTGTAGAGAAATATTGAAGAAAAAGAGGAATTTTTTTAATGTTTCAATCAATTTTTCAGTGCAGTCGGAACCTTCAAAGTTTTGACCTGATATACGAGCAGGCTGGTTTGCTATGATGCCAGTCATTGCTATGGTTTGTTTTGACTGCCGTGTATTCGAACACTAGCAAAACTTCATACAAACTCGTTTAGTTTTTTTTAATGTATACCAACTTAACCTTTTGTTTAGCGCTGCATGCTTCAGGCTTATTATTTTAAAATGTTTGGGAATCAGACTCGGAAATTGTTTCAAAATTATACGAAAATGTATTTAAAACTTTTCATAATTTTTGTTTCTGAAACTTTCTAGGCACTTTAGGTCGCTATCATTTTTTTGAGATTATTTATTTATCTTTCATAGACACTTACTTCATAAATTTGGTTGCACATCCACTTGTTTTTAAAAATTTTTTTTAAATGATGACAGATTTTTCTTTCATAGTTAAACAGCACAAGAATAAGCGTTTTTTCCTTGCCAGTTTTTTGAGTAAAAGAAACGTTGCCTCTGCTAAGACGTTCAGCAAACTTTGTTTTGTAACAATGATCTCTGCATCATTTTTTTGTCATTTGAACTCTAAGATAATTTCTTTGATAATTTTCACTCAAAGGGGTGAAGGGTCTTTCTATATAATTATATAGAAGATGCATTAATTATTCATTTCTACTTCAGTTGAACAGTTATTTTTGTTTCCAAATATTTTTTTCTGATTAAACTAAATTTTCTCTTGCAACACCAATAAGATTTCATTATTTCACCTTAATGACAAAATGTGAAGATTTTTTCTTAAATCAGATTGGCCAATGTTATCGAAAAAGTCTCTATATACAAACAAACTGCGTGAAACAGAATCGATTTTTGTTCGCTGATGTCATTCTAATGTGCAGTAAATTATTAGGTTCCCTTCTGAGTCTAGCCAATTCTTCTGTTTTTCGAGAAGTTGGTTCCAAAGAACAGAAAAAATGCAACCTGATTGATCACATTTTGTAATGGCTTTCTCGAAATGACACTTCCGAGTTGTGTGATTTGTTGCAAAAAAATTCAGTTTCAGTTTGTCTGGGGTTCTACTGGTAGTTTGGAATAGAATTTGCAGCATGGGATGGTTGTTGTGAATTGGACTTCTCACTTTTAAAATCCCAATTTGAAATCCTATCCCTCCTAACAATATTACGGGTGACCAAAATTTTTCATCGTAGTCTGGAAGTTTTCGCCGTGGACATCCAAAGTTGATTCCGATAGTTCCTCTGTAACTGTTCTGGCTTGGATACGGTTCGTTTGATGAGATATCCTTCTGAATTGTTTTTTCATTTGGCTCTTCAATGCCATCTTCTGGAAACTCGTAGTTCTCAGATAGAAATTTTTGAATCAATTCCCAGCTGCACTCTCTAATTCCTTTTGCGAAATTATGAAGATGATCCAAATTTTTGGAAAGTTCACTGTTGGCTTTTTCCACTGATCTGACTTGTGTCTCCAAAGATCGGTAGTGAACAAGATCTTTATTGATTCTGTCCAATTTTTTTTCTAATTTTTTGAGCAGCTCATCGCCTAAATAACAGGTACCAATTAAAGTCCACTTGTTTCGAACAAGTCAAACAACCTCCAATAAAATTAAGCGCTTTTAAAAAGTTTTCAATTGAAGTCGAACAAAATCGGAAATTTTTGGGATAAGTTGATCAAAGTCGAACAATGTCTTTTAAAGTCGAAAAAAGATGAACAAAGTGAAATAATGTCCGGTAAAGTCGAACGACGTCGAAAACGGACATTTTTTGACTCAAAAAGTCAAAAACGGACATCGTTTGACCGTTTCGATTGAATCATGAGTTAAACATCTCATTGGTCTACTGCCAACATGTATAAACTTTTGAAATTTTTTGTTAGTTTTCTCTAAGCAATAAATATTTTCTCTTTTGAATATTAAAACCAATTACCTGAAGACCACTTATTTCTCAAGCAGAACATAATTTTGTGGTTTGCAAACAAAAACAAAATTGCTCACAGTTCAGGTTTAATAAAAATTTGCCTTAATCAAAACCTCCTTTTATTTTTTCAAATGTTTATATAAGTTTTGGTAGACTTATAATAATGTATGACGCTCAAAAAAATATCATGTAAATTTCTCAATCACATTTCTGGTTTTAAACTATTTGCTTAAAAAATTGCCGCATAATAGAAAATGGTACGTTAATGTTAGTGCATACAGAGCAATTCATAAACTAATTCGTATTAATTGTTCAGAATCTTAATTCAGAGCAGCTGTTTTACGCAGCAAGTCAGGTAGAAGAAAACCTTACAACTTTTGCCGTTGCCTTATATTTTGCATTCCTTTTCCCCAAGTTTATCTTTTTAGATTTTTTTCGATTTAATTATTTGTTTGGCAAGCAACGATTTCTATAATTACTGTTACTTGCGTTGCTTTTTTACGAACAAAACCCCCCATTTTATTTTTGTTATCATGTTTTGTCGGAATTTTTGGATTTTTGCGTAAAAATCTGAGCAAGTAAATCCATTAGTTTCAATAAATTGCATTTGAGATATTTTCACATCTTTTGATCCATCAGTTGCAGGCTTACTTAAAAAAAAAACAAAGTTCATTTTTAAGTCGTATTTCAGGTCGTAATAACTCAAACTGGATGTTGGTAAAAATAAAACTAATTGGATTTCTGAATGTGAATTATTTAAAACGAATTAAGGTAATCCTTCACACGACAGGTTGTAACACCGTTGTTTGATAGCTGCTTACTGCGTTTTTTGTTGTCTCCTGCTTTTGCGAGCATCTGAAGTTTCATCTCAACCCTTCTTCTCAGATGTTTTTTGTACCCCAAAACTGAATGCTTGTCATGATCTGTTTCAAGGCAGTCGTCGCAACTCTCCACTTCACATTCTTTACACCAGAAAGAAACTAAATTTTCGCATAAGTTGTGCGAGCAAACTGGAGGAATAAATGATAGTTTTGTCTGCAGATTGTCCATTTTGTTCCGCAGTTCTTCAATTTCTTTCTGATACGCGCTGATTTCTGATGAGTATCCTTCTAAATGTTCTCTTATTCCGTATAAAGGCTTCAAATCTTCAATTCTTCTAGTATACTCTGTGCTGCAGATTGCGCATCGCAATACACCGCCGGGTCTTTGGAGTGCTCTTAGACACATTTTTGCTGGACCACAGTAAGAATGTCCACAAGGTAATGCGCGAGGATCAGCTATAAAATCCGCGCAAACCGAACAGTTAAGTGCATCGTTGTTTGATTGTATTCTAGAAGTGCTTGAATAGGCCATGTTGATAGCCGTTGCTGATAACAATTTCGATTATTAACAAAATAATTGTTGAATAAAATGATTAATATGGACCCTTTTTTAGAAGCTAAAGAATTATCAAAATAAGGTCATGCGCTCCTTGAAAAAATTAAATATAACTTGCTAAAAAATAGTACCGGTTTATCGCCCTTTTAAATCTTCTGAATTGACTTTACAGAAAATTCTTCTACTGATTTTATACACTGATGTAGATCTAATTAAGGGGGTCTTTTTTCAACAAAAAGTCAACAGTTTTCTCGAACCTGAAACTATAAAAAAAAACTTTTAAAAGTTTTAATCATATTTGACAATTGTGCCAAATACACACTTATTTCCAGACAGCTTTATCAACATGAAATTATATACAGTATTGATTTTTCGCTACACAATTTTCTCACTTGAAAGTTAAAAACTCTGAAAGAAAAATAATGACCTAGAAAATGGCGAACGGAAAAAAAATCAAATTTTAAAAATCTATTTCGAGCGAAAAAATGACTTGTAAGACATTGCAAAAAATTGAAAAAAAAATTGGATAAAAACACATTTTGAATCTTTTGAACAAAAAAGGGCTTGTTTAATAAAATATAATTTTATGGCGAAACCATTTGCTAGTTTTTTCGCGCTTAAAATATTCCGCCAAAAATTCGCAAAATGAGTTGAGCAAAATTGCAGCATGAGTCGCGCAAAGACGCATCAAACGACGCATAGTCGCGATATAAGTCGCGCAAAACCGAAACAAGTATTCGTTGCCTTTCTTCGAATGTTGAAGCAAAGTTTTTATTGGCTTATGATAACCTGGCAATTTATGTTTCTACAACCCACAGGGGTGGACCTAGCCTTTTTTCGAGGTACGGCGGACTTTCAAAAAAATCGGAGGAAAATCGAAAATTTTTTCGACCTTTTTTTAGGTCGACCAAATTGATTTTCTGAGCTCTCCCAAATCACTATATAGACCCCATTTTGACCAAATGTTTGAAAAAACAAGCTTAAAAGGCACTTTTTGGAAAGTTTTCTTTAGGCGCCTTTAGAACAGTTTTAGGTTCAGTCGGCCAAAAAGGGATATCTCAAAATAGTACAAAGGGGGGACCCTTTGGGTCGTTAGGGGGTCGAATCCTGAGAAAGGGGCGTCCGCCCCCACAATCAACGCCCCCCAAATCCGCTGGTGACAACCAACATGTTTAGTTATTATCATTAGTTGGTGATAGCTAATCAACAAAAATCAATGTGTAACGATTATTTTATAACAAAATAAATAGATCGGTTTGTTCAGCATAGACAATTTTATTGCTGCAATGTGAAAGTTGTTCAATTTTTTGCGCTCATAAAGCAAAACTGAAGCATACTAAACAACGAGAAAAGCTTTAATAATCTAAAACTAGGTGCATCCGTTGTACATTAATGTTTTAAGAAGGTTTCATTTTACGCTCTTTCACAAGTTGGTCAAATGTTTAGTCTTCCTGCTGTTACATATTGCTCAGCACTGAACTGCTGTAACTCTATCTATATTCAATTTAATACATTCGCTAAAAGCTTAACAACTCAACAGTTTTGCAGATTTTTTTTTAATAGCGTGAAACAAATTAGCGTTTTTAAAACCTCCGCACTCTAAAAATGAAATGTAATCTTATGCATTAAATGAAAATCGGAATGCGCTATGGACGCAATGTTTAACTGAATGCATTGTTTTAGCTTAGTAGAATGCAGCGTTTAAATTTAAAATATCCTCAAGTCTGGAATATTCTCGATTTTTTTGGCGAAAATTCGATTCGTTAGACAAGATGAACTCAATTTGTTTTCAAGGCTACACAGTGCCAGTCCACGTTTTCCAAAATTTTCATTCTGAAATTAAACAATTATGAAATGTTTTGAAATCTTTCAAACTTTCATCGCTTGCATAGCTTGCTTAAAAAAACTTAGGCCAATCAATTTGCTCTGTGAAAACATGAGATAATTCAAAGTTTTATTGCCGCAATAGCTTGCTTAAAAAACTATAACTTCTCGCCAATTTTCTTTGTGAAACCACTTGACTTATTTCAAAGTTTTATCACATGAATCGCGTGCTTAGAAAAACTTTGTTACCTTTCAAGCTATTTCATAGATTGTATCGAAAGTTTTTTCAAGCAAAATTTTTTGCAAATTTTTCTAAGCAAACTTTTTGCAAACCGATTTGCATTTTAAAATAACTTGAAATGTTTCAAAATTTCAGAGCTTGAATAGCTTGCTTAAAAAAAACTGGAACTTCTTGCCAGTCGATTTACTCTACGAAACAACTGGTCATTTTTCAAAATTTCATCGGAAAAACGTTGAACTATTTCAATATATCTCATAGACCGAAAAGTTTTGCAAAAAGCGTGAGTTTTCTAAGCAAAACTTTCGCAAACACTTTGTAAGCAAGTGTTTCACAAACCGATATGGTTTTTGAAATAACTTGAAAGTTTCAACAGTTTCAGAGCTTTGATAGGATAGCTCGCTTAGATAAATTAAGCTTTTTGCATAACTATTCGGTTAAGTTTCATAGCTTTAAAAACTTGCTGAGAAAAACTTAAAATTTTTCGTGAAACGATGTGTCCACGAAACAACTTGAAACATTTCAACGTTTCATAGCTTGAATAGGTTGCTACGAAAAAAACTAAAAGCTTTTTGCGAACCGGTTCGTTTTATGAAATAATTTGAAATATTTCAAGGTTGCATAATTCTAATAGCTTCCCAATATAAACTTAAACTTTTCGCGAACCGATTCAATCTATGAAATAACTTGAAAAAGAATCGAAGTTTCATAGCTTTAAAAACTTGCTTATAAAAACTTAAAACTTTCGTAAACCGATTTGGTCCACGAAATAACTTGGAAGTTTCTAAGTTTCATAGCTAAGTTTCATAGCTTAGAAAACTTAAAGCTTTTCGCAAGCTGATTCGGTCTGTGAAAAAACTTGAATTATTTCAAAGCTTCTAGCTGAAAAAGCTTGCTTAGAAAACTTAAAGCTTTTTCGCAAGCTGATTCGGTCTGTGAAATAACTTGAATTATTTCAAAATTTCATAGCTCCAATAGCTTCCCTAGATAAACTTAAGCGTTTCGCGAACTGATTCAGTCTATAAAATATTTCGAAGATTCATAGCTTCTGAAGCTTGCTTAAGAAAATTTAAAGCTTTTCGCAAACTGATTTGGTTTATGATTTAACTTGACCTATTTCCAAATTTCTAGCTGAAAAAGCTTGCTTAGATAAGCTTAAGTTTTTCGCGAACTGATTCGATCTACCAAATAACTAGCAAAACTGTAAGTTTCATATTTTGAATAGCTTGGTTAGGAAAATTAAAGCTTTTCGCAAGCTGAATCGGTTCATGAAATAAATTGAGACATCTCAAAATTTCTAGCTAAAAAAACTTGCAGTCTATGAAATAACTTGAAATATTGAGTCTATGAAATAACTTGAAATATTTCAAAGTTTCATAGCGTTTCTTTATTTAGTGAATATCTTGTTTTCACACCTGTGTTTTTCTTCGTAGACGCTTCCCCTGCTTTTAGGGACAAGTTCGAGGGTTTCGACAGATTTTTCATTGGTCTGCGTGCGATCTTGACCTCGCTTTCTGAACAACATTTAAGGTTTTGCATGATTTCTGATTGGAGTGAGGGACACATCAGGTTTTTTTTGATCTTGTTCTGTACTTTGTCGGCAGCTTTGGGCCATTCGAACAACTGTGCGGTGGATGTGAGGGAACCAGATGTTTTCGCTCAAGTCAGGCATTGCCGCCGCTCCCGAGTGAGTCATGTGTAAGCTGTTCAAAATGTCTTGGCGCAACTGCTGCGGGATGATGATCCGTTCGTCTATGAGTAGACAATTTTAGAAAACTTTAAATTTTGGCCGAACGATTCGGTTTAAGCAACAACTTGGATTTTTTGAAGTTCATTGCTCGATTAGTTCGCGCAGAAAAACTAATTTTTCGCAAAAAGTTTCCTTCTAAGAACAAACTTGGAAAATTTTCAATTTTTTATAGCTACAAAAGCTTGATTAACTAAAACGTGATGTTTCTGCCATCTGATTAACTTCATGAAATAATTTGAAGTTTTGTAACTTAACTAGCTTGCTTAGAAAAACTCAATTTTGTTGCCTAATGATTGGCTTTATGCAACGATCTGAAAACTTTTAAAAGTTTCTTTGCATAGAAAGAGCATAGAAAACTAACTTTTTGCGAAATAATTTGATCCAATAAACGATATGAAACGTTTCAAAGATTCATGGCTTGAAATACCGGCTTACAAAAAATTGAGCATTTCGCGAACTGTTTCGGTCGATAAAATAGTTTGAAACTTTTCAAAGTCATAGCTTGAATAGCTTGCTTAGGAAAACAATAATTTTTTTAAAAACTGATTTGTTCTTTCAAATAACTAGAAAATTTTCAAAGTTTCAGCGGTTGAGTGACTCCAGAGGAAAAAATTTCAATTTTTCGCTATCCAATTCTGTGCATGCATCAAAACTTAGAAAAACTTGAACTTTTTGCGAACTGATTTGTCCATAAGAAAACTTGAAATCATTGAAGTTTTCATAACTTGAATAGCTTGCTTAGAAAAATTTCAATTTTTTCGTGATTCGATTCAATCTATGAGTTTACTTGAAATCTTGCATAGCTTGCTTAGAAAAGTTTAAATTTGTTGAAATGTGATTCGGTCGATGAAATAGTTTTAAATATTTCATGGTTTGAATAGCTTGCTTGAGAAGAACATGAGCTTTTCGTGAACCGATTCGGTCGCAGAAATAATTTGAAGTGTTTCAAATCTTAAGCCAAATAGCTAGCACGCGAAAACTTGTTTTCTTGCTAATCACTTTGATCTATCAAATGTTTTGAAATATTTACAAATTCTATTGCATGATTTGCTCCAATAAAGCAATGTGAAATCCGTTTCAGTTCACGAACTAATTGTTGAAGTTTTTTTTGCTTTGATAGCTTACCTAGAAAAACTTTTTTTTGCGAAATGATTTGTTCCTATAAAACAATTTGAAATAATTCAATGTTTCATAGCTTGAATAGCTTCCATAGAAAAAACCTTAAGTTTCGCGATCCGATTTTTCTAAAGGTTACCGAACCGATTTACGATATGGCTCAATTTGCAATGGTTCAAAGTTTCATTGCTTGGATAGTTTGATCAAAATGACAATTAATTTTTTGGGAGCCAATTGATTATTGGAGGCGAGCTTGCTAGTTTGTGCTAAATTGGTGCACCCATTTTTTTCGGATGTACTGTCTTCTATTGGTGTGGTTCATAGCTAGCAAAGTTTAGGTACGCCGATCAAAATCTCATGTGGTCGCTTTCTCAATTTTTTCATATCAATGGTTGGCAATTGGACGATTCGTGACACTTAATTGCTCTTCATTGAGCCATTTGATTGTTTCAAATTAATACTTATTTTAAAAACTTTAGGAAAAATTTTTTTTTGAAAAAAAAAGAGGATAACTTTTATTACATCCCCTCCTTGGCTACCTAACAACGAATATCCCCTAAAAGATAAAATCAACGGACAAGCATATGAGAATTTTTGTACGTAGTAACGAACCTCACACCCCATTTTGCAAAAAGGGGGTTTAGCTAAAGAGATTTAAGCCAGCTTAAATCTTAAGTTACGCAACCTCCGCCATCTACCTCTCAGCAGCGTCAAAACATTGGATATCTCTTTTTGCCCTTGGGCAATACATCCATGGGATTCAAGTTTGGATCCCACGATGATAACTTTTTGTTCTGATTACTTAAAAATTGTGGAGCAACTTTGTATTTGGGTGTGTTTGTGGCTTTTTGTTTGTTCCTGTTTGATTTATTAAACAGGTATTATGAAAATGTTTTTTTTTCCAGATCTGGTTTTTTTTTTTTTTTTGAGACGCTTTTTCGAAAAATTCGCTTTCCCAAAACACTACCCGTCAGATTCTCATAAAAGTGAAACCAATGGATTCAGTAGCAATTCACCTACCTGCCTGCATGATTTCTGATTGGAGTTGGGGACACATCAGGTTTTTTCGATCTTGCTCTGTACTTTGTCGGCAGCTTTGGGCCATTCGAACATCTGTGCGGTGGATGTGAGGGAACCAGATGTTTTCGCTCAAGTCAGGCATTGCCGCCGCTCCCGAGTGAGTCATGTGTAAGCTGTTCAAAATGGTTTGGCGCAACTGCTGCGGGATGATGATCCGTTCGTCTATGATTAGACAATTTTAGAAAACTTTAAATTTTGGCCGAACGATTCGGTTTAAGCAACAACTTGGATTTTTTGAAGTTCATTGCTCGATTAGTTCGCGCAGAAAAACTAATTTTTCGCAAAAAGTTTCCTTCTAAGAACAAACTTGGAAAATTTTCAATTTTTTATAGCTACAAAAGCTTGATTAACTAAAACGTGATGTTTCTGCCATCTGATTAACTTCATGAAATAATTTGAAGTTTTGTAACTTAACTAGCTTGCTTAGAAAAACTCAATTTTG